AAATTATGAGAAAATTCCTATGAAAACATCTTCATGAGATTGTAGCTAAAGTTACCAACCAAATCAACCCCAGCCATGGCACCCAGCCTGAAAAATAAACCCATTAAACAGTGAGGAGATCAGAAGCTGAAGTCACATAAACAATCCTGACACCAACCTTTTTTGCTGAATTCATGCCCACACTGATGATCAGAAACACTCTCCCTGAGCAGCATCCAAACACGCTTAACTCTGACCTTGGGGTTTTCATAAACAATCACAGGTCTTTTAATATAAATTGAGAGGAATGAGAGCTCCCTCTCCTGAGTGCTGACAGATCCCTCTCCTTCACCCCAGTGCAGGGGGTCTCTCCATCACTCTTCTCCAACATCCTGCCTTTCCTTTGGGTAGGGCTGGGCTCTCCCATTAGAGATGTTCACTCTTTCATGGATTGGGGAGATGCTCTCGCTCTGATGCTGGCTCCTCTCCCTTCTCTCTGGGCTGGGGATGGGGCTACCCCACCCAATGCCACCTCCCACTCTCTGGCCTTAATTGGCGCTCCCCAATGCTGCCCCTTCCTCTCTGTTCCTTGACCCTGGAGTGGAGGCTGCATTAGGGAAGGGAGCTTCCCTCTGGGGTTTAAAGCTGGTACCTGCCTCTTCTCATCCCTCCTCACCAAAAGCTTCTGACACCTGCCTTGCTGTGTCTCTGTCACTGAGAATGGAGCAGCCCCAGCAGGAGGAACTGAAGCCTCTGCAAACAAATGAGAAACCAGTGAATTGGTTCCTATTAAACAGTGAGGAACTGCAGTGACATCTCTGCTCAATCTCAGGTGCCCAGGACAGAGGCAGCTCCCTGGGATCTAGGACTGTCCCAGCCAAACCAGGGCTGCTGGGGAGTGTGAGAAATGGTCCCAACCTTCCCCAGGGCTGAGCTCTGCCTCCAACACTCTGATTCTCTCTCCCCAGTGAACGTGACTCTGGATCCAGACACGGGTCATCCCCAACTTGTCCTGTCTGAGGATTGGAAAAGTGTGAGATGGGAAGAAACATGGCAGGATCTGCCTGACAATCCAGAGAAATTTGACACTGAGCCCTGTGTGCTGGGCTGTGAGGGATTCACCTCGGGGAGACATTGCTGGGAGGTGGAGCTGGGTTGTGGGGGAGGCTGGTTTGTGGGGGTGGCCAGAGAGTCTGTGAGGAGGAAGGGACAGATCAGCCCTGAGGAGGGGATCTGGGGTGTGAGGTATGTGTTGGATCAGTTCTGGGCTCTCACCTCCCCTGCGACCCCCCTGCCCCTGAGCCGGGCCCCCAGCAGGATCCGGGTTTGTCTGGACTGTGACCGGGGGCAGGTGACATTTATCGATGCTAGTGACGAGGCCCCGATCTTCACTTTCCCGCCGGGCTCCGTCCCTGGGGAGAGAATCCGACCCTGGCTCTGGGTGCTGGGGGAAGGATCCCGGCTCCGCCTGTGTCCCTGAAACCATGGGGGTGGGGGGAGAGAGAGGGAGAGGAATATCCCACTGGGAAGCCTGAAATCAGCCTCTCTAGCCTCAGACAGTGTCGTCTCTATGATCTGCTCCTGTGGACTGTCTATCATGAAGTCTCTGCGACCCTCGAAGTTGCATCGGGTCTCAACTCTGTGCAGTCTCTGGTGTCACACCACAGAGAGCATTAGGTGAGGTAGAGAAGCCAGTCTCGTCACTGCCTCAGGGATTGTGCAGCCTGTTTGCCACTGTCCTCTATGATATAGGAGGACTCTGGGGATCCTTCGTCAGACAGTGCCACTGACATGGGAGGGAAGAGCCCACTGGGATGAAAAATGGGCTTCTCTAGCCACAGTCATCCTAGTCTCTATGACCAGGAGGATTCCCATCTAGCGTGTTCTGATTCATTTCTATGCCCCTGGAGGACCCATCTACCCAACCCCCGATATCTCATCTCTATGGCCCCTGAAAGCTCCTCCCCCTCCCTACAGCACCAGGGATGGGAGGAAGAACCCCTGGAGGAGCAGAGGGGTCTTGAGGGGCAGATGTGGGGCTGCAGGGGCATAGCTGAGGGAGGAGCTGGGGGCAGAAGTGATGTGGGGGTTAAGTAGTAGAATTAGCAGCCGGGCTGGGGACAGGCAGATGTGGGGGTGACAGGGACACAGAATTAATTAATTAGGATTTGGGGTTTTGGGGAGAAGCTGGAGGCTCCCCAGGAGCAGGGAGCCTGGGAGAGGGAGACCCAGAAACTGGAGAGTGTGACCTACAAGTCAGGAGGAAAGGGATGCTATAGTGGGAACCAGTTAGAGGGTGGGGTGATGTCAGCTGGCTGAAGATGTGGAGAGTCAAGTACAGGGTAGGTTTAACCAAAACGGGGGAAAGAAATGAAAGAATAAAAAAGGAAAAATAAAACAAAACCAGTGTAAAGACAGAAGCCTGGAGAAAGTGGTGGGAAACTTAAATGAAGAGTGAAAGCAAAATCATCCTGAGAAGGGAAATGCTCTGGGGCAGGCAGCAAGAGAGGAAGGGATAAACTCAGGGGATAGAACTGGGAACCTGGAGTATTATGATCTGTGATACAGAATAGAGAAGGGTTGGGAAGACGCAGAGAAATAAACAGATGGGAAAGGAGTGCTAGAGAAAATGAGGTGTAAAAGTAGATGAAATTAAAGAAAAGGGAGGCGAGAGAACATAAGATCGAGATGTATAAAATATTTCTGAAAGTGAGAGACTGTAATATTAATTAAACCCCATAGTTCAGGGCCAATATTTCCACTTTGGTACTTTTCAGAGCAACACTTCTTCAAATTTGTGGATGTTTTTACCATGTATTCTAGTTATGAAAGTTCCCTCTCAGCTCCTTTTAACCTGACATTTACTTAAGGTAAATAAACAAGACACATGTTTTATATGTTTCATTGCTCTTTAATTTTCCAGCTGTGATTTTTGAAGGCAGACATGGATTGACATAAGCAATTGGGGTGTGTGTGGGGGGGAAAATCCCAATTCCAATGAGGACCTCTGTGTATGTCATTATGATGATAGCAACATATTATGGTAAGATCCAGGCTATTGAGCCTGCACTGTGGGTCATGTGCTTTATATAAAGATACACATCAGGAATTGTTCAAGAGGAGAGAGCTGGTTGGGTCACTTCTCAGTTTCCAAACCTGTCAGCGCGTGGCAGATGTTCGCAGTTTGGAACAGTAGGATTTTATGTCACATCGGCCCACAATCAACAGATTATAACAGTTTTAACTAGCATGTGAATTGAACTATTAAAAAAAAGAAACTAAAATATAGATCAAGTAGAACCACTCAATCCCCACTCCCACAGCTGCAGAATTTGTAGCCT